GAAAACTTTTTTATTAGACGAGGTATATTCACGAAGTTAGATCGGAATCAAGTTATTGTAAGGAACCACTGTATCTGTGAAGGGTATTATAGCTTCGATGCAACCGAAGTTAACGTTTTTTCTTGTTTGGTGTCATTGTGGTGATCGGCAAGAGTATCAAAAATTTTTCAAAGTGAATCCCCGATTATTATAGCATATTAAATTCTGTTAATGTATATTCTTTTTTAGTGACTTTTAAAAAAAGAAATTACGAAAAACGAGTTTTCCTAATTTCCAAGTTAACCGATTATTTTTCCTTTGATGTATATATTCCCCCCTAATGCGTTGAAAGTTGTAGTAGTCAAAGAAGGTAAGTTAGTTATTGTTGTGTTGAAAGACTTTTGCTCTTTGGCTAATATAAATTTAAGCTTGCTTTGCTTTAATTTACCGAACTGTTGTTGGAACTAACTCACATACGACGGTTTTTTGTATTTTGTACTGTAGCTGTTTTTGACTCGATTGATATTCAAAATCAACGTAAGCTATCGAAACTTTAAACCTAATATAATGGCGTAGTTCTACTACAACTCTCTTCCTCTCTTTTTGTCGCAATCCACTTTGATTTGTGAACAAATATAGTTAGCGTATTTATTATTTTAATTAAATGTTTTATTCTCCCACTTAATAGTTAAAGAATCCAGTCATTGATCAACTGCTAATCAGTTACATGTAAACACCATTAAATACATTATTGACGAACTTTAAAACTGTCATAATTTACATGCAACACTCGCATGAACTTGGGAAATATCTTTGTGTGGGTGTAAATCACGAAGGACGCTCCAAACTGCAATAGGAGCTGCTACAAGATGTACATACACACACATACATAAATATATTTGTGGGTACATGCGAAATTATCGATTTCGTGGATCGAAAGGGACTTGACAACTTTGCTCGCCGAGCAGCGTTAAAACTGTGCAGAAATACAACAACAACAAATATATACGGGCACCAAAGCTAAACTATGGCATCAAACTAAAAAACTATATTATATACGAGTATGTATACAAATATGTACATATTTATGTGTGTAGTTATGTTATTTGCAGCCAAGTCATGGCAGTTACTCAACGATTAGCCAATATAAATATGGGCGTGTATCTGCAAATTAAACTTTGTTTGCTTGTATGGTGTGTTCTGTGTGTGTGTGTGTTTGTGTGCGCGAACGTACATTAAAAATATGGAAGTAGGAGGAAGGGGAAGTGAGCGCAGTGTGAGATGCACAAACTTTTGTTATACATATATACTTACCATATATGTATACTATACAAAAACAACTGCATGGCTGGGTATAAAAATATATCTGAGCTTCGTATGTATGCGTGTATATACACATGTACATATCTGTTTGCTTGTGCAGTTTAATGGTGGCCTTGAACATGAACTGCAATTTTGCAATTTTCTCTAAAACCGAACGAAACTTTTTGCTGCCTGAACTACTACAAATTTCACTGCCCCATACCCCGCTGCACTTGCAAGCTAAGCTACTCTCTTTTTTTCCTCTACTCTCTCTCACTCTCTCAAATCATCTCTCTCTAGGGCGTGCGCCCTTCGTGAGGAAGCAACAAAAGTGCACAAAGCAAAAATACGACTGAAAGTCATGATTGGAAAACCACACAATCGCATCAGGGAACTTGTAGGATTGCCAAATGTCCTAATTTATTTCCAATTTGCGAAAGTAATTTCTAAAATAATTTGTAGTTTTGTAATCTTAAAAAAAATTAGGGAGAATATAGTTTAATTATGCCTGTTTGTATATCTTGTAATAATGAGGTAGTCAATAATAATATTTCTAAGAGCCCAAAAATCAAAAACTGTAAATGAGAAAATTATAGAAATCTTTTCATAAAAATACAATAGTTACTAACAATTTATCACTAAAACATAGTTTCTAAATACATAAAGTTATTATTATTTTTCAGTAATTAATTGTTATTTTTGTTTAACTTTAAAATTTTGTTTAATTAAAATTTTTTTCTTTAAATTATTAAACAGATTTATTAAGACTATATTAAGAGGTTGGGGCTTACCGGTCCTATGAGGACATATGTATAAATCAGGATTTACTTTCATAAAAATATTTGAAAAAACGTATCGAGTGGTACATACATACTTCGAATATCATGAAAGATAGTTTAGGGAAGTTTACCCACAATCTAAATAAGCTTCTCTCAGAAGTTTTGAATAAACGATAAAGATGATAACAATTTAATCGTCTTAAAGCGAAAAAACCCTAGTATTAATTCACCGAGCTAAGGTAAGATCATAGCAAACGTTTTTTGGAAATCACGCAGTCTAGCAAATGATAAAACTTCAAATCTTTTTAATCATTGAACAGATTTGAAACCAAACTGGGTTCGTTGTTTGAAAGACACAGGCATAGCACTTACGTCATATTTAGGCTCCCAAATTGTAAAAAATTAAGCGCTGTTCAGTAACTCTGTGGATTTGACCAAATGTATGATCTTTTTCTACATTAATTGTGCTATATCTTTTAGGTTGGAACATTGGAAGCCATGAAATATATCCCGTCTTAACCAACTGGAGACTGGGCATTCAAAAAGTTAATTTTCTAGCGTCTTAATAGCATTCGCTCATGCTCTGCCTTCTGCCGACTCGCCTTTAGCATGTTTCTTGAGGGGGAATCCTAAAGGTAGATGCCACTTTATAACCCCTACAATGCTTGTTTAGAACAGTCTAAAAAATATCCGGCCTCCTTGTCATCAATGCATACTTTAGTCACCACTATGGATATATCACCTATTTAGCGACAATTAGATTCTCATCCAGTATATTCACTGCAATTTAGACCACTGTGATGTTGTTTCAATTGCATTTAATAAAATACTCCTTATTGGCAATTGGAGTACTTTCAGAACACGTATATAAAAAATTAGATTTGGGTAAATGGTCGCATTTTGAGCGAAACACAAATATTGTTGTTGTTGTAATATTAATGTTATAAATATATAAATATATATATATAGACGCTTCGAAAATTATAATTATATTGTCATAATCATTAAGTAGAAACTTGTTGAATTGATGAATTACTTTCCTTGAAGCGGCAACTCTGGCAGCTTGTCATAATGAAAAATGAAAAATACCTCTACAAAAATATACATACAGTTGCGTGTAAAAGTGTATGCACATAAACATATGCATCCCTATTACATTCCCCTTACACAAAAAAATACTCGTTTCCGGCACTGCGACCGTCGGGACTAAACTTTTACAGGCATACGAATACATATGTATATGTGCTCTCAGTTGCTTTATGTATTATACATGCATATACATACATATGTATGTATCTCACTGACCACTTTGCAGCGAATTGCATGGCGTATACTGCAGTACAGCTACATCCCAACCACATTAACCGAGCGACCAATACCAACGTATGCACCGAACTACCCGATACCCGTAATCATTTAGCACCCGCTTCCACCTCAACACACACATACGCACAAACACCAAAGTCGGTTTGAAGGTCAATAAAAATTAATACAACAAAAATCGAATATACCCATATGCCTGTATATGGTGGTTTTTGTTTTTGTTATTCTTTTTTCTCTTTTTTTTAGTATTTTGCCTCACTGGGGCAGTAGGTGGCATGCAGGCAGTTAATTAAATTTCACACGCTGCTACATACGAAAAGTACATAAATACTGCTCGTATGAATATTTTAAAATGTACATATATGTGTGTGTGTATTTTTGTTTAATCGAAAGTTCTTTTACTGCTCGCTTTTACCCCGGAGCACTGCAGAGTTTTCAATTAAATGTTCGTGGATCTCTTCGAAAAATACTTTTGAGTCTATAAAAGAGCTGGCACGTACGAAGTTAACTAGATTAAATTTTTATAATAATTGGTTTCGTTGATGTATACATATAATATCAATACATTAGAGTTTTAATTGGCCTAAAAATAGTTTCACAAATAAGAGCTGGTGATCGATTATTAATAGGAACTAACTACATAAGGGACGCTATTATTAAGTACGAAAATATCGATTTTTTCCAGAAGATTTAAAAATCTTTATAAGGTAGTAATACAAATATCAGCCAATAAAGAATCAGAGCCATCATCATTGAATTGAAACAAAATGTAACACAGAATGTATAACAGAGGAAGAGAGAAAACAAGAAAAAATGTTAGCTTCGGCTGCACCCAAGCTATAATACCCTTCATACGTGCATTTCTTATTTATCTTGATTTTGATCGGTCAGTTTGTATAATAGCTATATGGTACAGTGGGCCGATCTAAACAATATATTCGAAGATTGTAGAGATGCTTTTGAGAAAAATATATGCCAACTTGATTTTGATTGTTTAGTTTTATATAGCAGCTATATGCTAACATATAGTGCTACTGTATAAAATATTTATTCGGAGATTGTATGATTGTCTTGGACAATAATTTGTGCCAAATTTCGTGAAGATATATTGTCAAATGAAAAAATTTTCCAAACAAGAATTTGATTTTGATAGTTCAGTTTGTATGGTAGCTTTTTGCTACAGTTCCAACAAATGAAAATTTTTCTATGGAAGAAACGACGTGTGTAAAATTTCAAATCGATATCTCAAAAGCTGAGGGACTAGTTCGCTTCTATTGTATAATGACGGATAGATGTGGCTAAATCGACTCAGCTCGTCAAACTGATCATTTATATATTTATTTTATAAGATCTCCGACGTTTCCTTTTGGGTGCAACAAACTTTGTGGCAAACTTTATATACCTTGTTCAAACTATAAAAAGGTTTCCTCAGAGCTTTTCCTCAACCTATTCCTAAAACTCTATTTAAGGGTTAGGGAACAACTATTTAAGGGTTCGGGAACAACAAATTATTATTATGAAATCGCTTTCCAAATATGCTTTTAAATTAGCTGTTCTTTCTAATGCTTTACAAAATTACTTATAAATAATAAGAAATACATTGAATATCTTATGTATGTGGTATATAGATACATGACTGGTTTTAAAGGAAAAGCGTACATTCTGCTACAGTGGCTTAAGTTTTTTACATCGACATCATTAATAGAGGTCATATTTCGCTGTTGAAGTGTTTTTTTCTATTAATAGTTGAACGTATACGTTATTAGGGCAGAGGTACCTAAAGTTCTTTTAGTTTTTCGCTTCTGGCCAAAGAAATCACAGCAAAGCTATAATTTATCTGTCCTCATCTCTCTAATGTATGTGCTCCGATGACCACTTGTTGATTTCATCTCTGAGGTCGTCATAATTCCTCCTAAAATCTAATTTATGAACGGAGCCATACCTACACCTTAGTTCACCGTTCAAAAAAATATTGCTAGATCTCAAAATATACAACGCAGTATAATCTAGCGGCAACAAAGAACTGGAAATCCTTCCTCAAAGTTAGACTGATCAATAAATTAAACCAAACATTAACCGTTTCTATGAGTTAACCGATACTCAAAACCTTTGCAAAACCCTTTTAAAATCTTTATACCGGGCCTTTTTTGTAAAGACCTATCTCTACCACTGAAACTTTGAAAAGCTTATTGTTCCAGTTATCTTAACAACACGGTCTCCTTTTATGGGAAACATCAAAACACACACCTCATATTAGTAGCGAACAGCAGCCAAGATTAAAGCACCATATTTTTATTAACATGCTATTTCGATTATCAAAGTTTATGGCTCTGACTCTCATCCCCGATTGCCCCAACTCGAAATGAAAATTTCGCTAAAAAACAAAAAAAAAGCTGTTGACTATATGGTATAAATGTGTTTAAAGAGAATCCGAAACCTAAATTTCTGGCATGAAATGCTATAAAAACATTGTGATCAAATGACAAACGTGACTGCCGAGCCAAGACAGACGGAATTTCAAGCCACAGCGCTGTCAAATTGGCTTTTATGATATTTTCACTAAACACAAACGGAGACTGTGTCCCTAAACGCCAACTTTCGTGGGAGGGACGGCGGAGCTGTTTGGAAATGGCTATTTGGCAAAGGGTGATAACGACAGGCGGGTGTAAGCTTCGATTGTAGAAAACAAGCAGCAGCTGACGGCCGTGAATCATGCCATCCAACGTAGCAGCGAGAAATTTGGAAGAGTACGGGAAATACAAACATACGCTGGCATATGCTTTTGAAAGTGTCGAAAGTGGAGTAACCATGAATGAGAGTGAGAGTACGCGCAGCAGGGCCCATTGAGAGATAAAAATAATCATTCGCATGTGCAAAATTATTTAGGTAAGTAGGTAGACATATTTTATATTTCTTAAGTACACATATTTATGTAGAGGTGCAAATAGTTGTTGTTTTGTGTGGTTGATAAAGTACGAAATGTGGAAACAAACTATAAAATAATAAAGAAGAAGCGAAAAGCAAAAATAGAACAAAGTATAAGAAGCTAAAGAGAAGGGGAGCCGCTGTGGGCAAAAAATATGTGTGTACGTGTGTAAGAGAGTGCTCTGACGCAAGGCCTGTTATAGGGCTGAGGTGTGCTCTAAGCGATCAGCTGTTGTTGGAATGGGAATAGCGTCGCAACAAACGAAAATGTATTGTACTAAACTCCATTATATTATATTAAATATTGTACATATACATATATACAAGTAGTTCATTCGGTAAAGTAAGAGTGTCTGACGAAGTTAGGCGAAATAATCATAGCGCTGTTAGAGTGTATGAGTATCATTTCATGTGTCTGCCGGCAGCGCCAAATTACTCAGTGAACTGGTTAGCCTGTTGGTTTTTGAGCTGCGCCCCAAATGCACCGCACGTCGTTGTCTCCTCCAAGTACCAAAAAATCGATAGAAAACCTGTTCGGTTGCAAAAAACGCATATCAGCATACACAAATATATACTCTCCTGTGCTCTCTCGGCACACCTGTGTGTTGCATTGGCGCGGTGTGAGTGAGCGCCGGCCAAAGTTTATTAGCTGTCCGTGCGCATGCTGATTTTACCCTTGCCGCACACGCAGATCCAGCAGCTAACCGCTAACCGCCAACACCAACAACGCTGCCGACGCCGCACGACATATGAAAGCACGAAATTTGACTCACATGTTTGTACCAGCTACGCTACGCTGCTATTGCTGCTGCTGCTGAGCGTGTGCATTTACTCAGTACAACTCAGCAAAGCGTGTCGAAAATCCTTGTCGTTAATTTTCAAGTTCATTGTCAAGGTCGCCCTCTCTCGTCGGCTCTGCTAATTGCTCACGCCGCTCGGCGCTAACACTCTCGCAGCCACACCGGCAGTGCCGCCGCTCAACACCACCACCACCATCACCATATAGCGACGCAACAATAACAACAAACATTGCGAGCAAGCTGTGCTGGTTCGTAGCGTTTGCAAAGCCAGCTGCAGCAGCGACAAGTTTTACTTTTCACTTTAATTCTTTCGCATTCGTATTCGGTTTTTTTACGCTGTCGTTTTATGCTTACTTTTTTTTCAGTTGCATCGCTTTTAAGGCTTTGTTGACAAACATTTCTACCTACATGTGCGAATCTAAGTACATATATAATTGCAATGCACTATTCTAATACATATATATGTTCATATTGTATATTTGTGCAATTACGTACGGCTTATTTTCTTATATGGTGTGCAACGCCTATTGGCTTACTTTTGTAATCTTCGCAGCTGCGTTTTAGCGCATGCAATTTTTAGCATCTCATTAGACGCCTAAAGCCTGAGACTAATTTTACACGAGCGCACCATGTTGAGTAAGGATATTAAAAATTTCTTAACTCAGCAGCTGTTTGCAGTTGCTTGTGGGATAAAAAGTTAGGCTTTGTGTAGGAAATTTATGATTTTGTATAATCTCTATTCACCTCCAGTTAAAATCTTTTTCCAGTCTAGTCAGTAGTTTCGACCCTCTCAGTAAGGCCGAGACAATTTATTGCTCTCATTTCAACTACAACTCTCCCAATACCAACCTCACAGGTCTATATAGTTACATATGAGAACAGGAAGAGCTTCGTGAATACGATGGCTGTGAACTAATTGAATCGTTTTCTAATTTCTGGGAATTATCGATTATTTATACACTTAACACCCAAAAGGAAATATCGGAGACCCTATAAAATGTATACATATTTAACACATATTCGAGCTGAGACGATTTAGCCATGAGTGTCTTCTGTCTGTATATACGCGAACTCGTCTCTGGGCACATTATGCCCAAAAAGCAGCTCATTTGTCGTAACTGCCGATATCGGACAACTATAGCAAATTGCTACTATACAACTCGACCGATTAAAATCAAGCTAAACTTCAGGGTAACTCTTTTGCTACGCACCTGTGAAGAGTATTACAACTTTGGAGCGGCCGGAGTTATATTTTTTCTTGTTTTTTAATTGAAATAGTTCAACAAAAAGGACACAAATTTCTTCGTGAAAAAAAGCTTGAACATTCCCTCAGAGTTATTTAAATAGAGTGAGAGCCTACAAATTTCTTCGTATTCCTTTCTCCAAGTCTTGAGACCTACTTGTAGAAGCGTTTTGATCACCACACGCTAATATTCGTCAGTATCATAGACCGTTAAAATGTTCGCGAAAATAAAAAAAAAGTTTGCATAGGTCAAACTTATATGAGTGCAAAAAGAATAAGTTCTCAAAATATATGTTCTAATAAAATCCTCTTTCCATTATCGGAAAACATGTATACTCGGAAAAAAATTCGAAGATTGAAAGTTTAGATATTTTACAATGAAGCCCATAATTGACGTTGAGTAGTTAGAATTATCCATGAAGGATCCTGAATGTTCTTTACTGAGAGCTTGTTATGGAACTGTAAATCAAATGTAAAGAAATATATTGGGCATCGATTCTGGGCGAGAATTCAAATTTTCTAAAAATAAACTAAAAATATTAAATCGGAAATAGATCACTTTCGCCTCTATACCGATGGTATTAATTTATAATCAATTAACCTTCAAAGAGCTATGACAGATATACCTACATGTATGTGTTGTATGTTTCAGAACTTTTTGGCCAGTTCAGTTTGAAGTTCGGTGGCTCTCTTAGTTATTATTCCTTACTTGTTTGTTATTAACTTTTTCCACTTTGGTTTCCCTGGGTGTAACAATTGCGTAGTTAAAAATAAATGTGAGACACGATTCTAGTTTAGTTCAGATTGAAAACTAATATGCCTGTATTTTCGACAAAAAATTTGTGTAAATACAAGCCGAGTCACAATTATAGCAAGTGTACGAGTTGTTCTAAATATACAGATGCGTTCTAATTTTCTATTCAGTATTGAGGTGGATTGGTGTCTCTAATATTAATATCTATATATTTTTGTTGGCTTTTAAAGCAACTCTTTCTACATAAAAATTACTGGATGGTATATAGTATATTTTTCATTTTTCGAATCGAGTCCAAATATTAAGGAAGCCTGTAGTGAAGATGAGTTCTTTCCAAATCTGAAATATTTGATCGAAATTTAAAACACACACGCTATTTCAAAGCAAAGAAAAACCAAAGTAGTGGCGATATTTTGGGTACTATCTAGAGCATTAACAATTTTTGGAAAGGTTAAAGGATCCGTGATTTGCATAAATCTTAACTTTACTTAAAAAAAACTGACTATTGAACGGGCGAAAAGTTTGGAAGTGCCTAAATAAGGACAGTAGTTTAATTAGATCTGTTCATTTTTTAATTCATTTTTTTCACATTCAGACCTAAGAAGTTCCAGATGGTTAACTAGAGGAGTAAGTTAGGCTATTTGAGACCTTAGAGAGCTTTCAAAGCTTTAAGCTCTTCACTATTCTTCTTTAGTTAAGAAGTTTCAGAGTATTCAGTTCTCCGCTAACCTTATTTAGTCACCCGAGTAAATGAATTCGAACTTTCAACTCTAAAAAAAAAAACAACCAAAGAGGTAGAGCGGGCACTCTTATCGTTAATATAATACATATAATGTTATTCTGCAGGAGTAAAAGTAATCGAAAAAAGTTTACTTTGTTCCTTGTTTAACATAATTTTGAAAGGCAATTTCGTAAAACAAAATGTCTGTGCAATTTACGGGTAGCTCTTTAATATAATTTTCTTATAACACCGGCAATTACAACAAGACCTCAATAAATTGATGTATGTTGCATTGATGTTTTCCTCTCGAGCATACGATTTTGTTTCCTAAGGCTCAAGTACTCCCTTTGTGATATTTGTCAGAAAAAAATTGTTTATGCGTATGTTGCTAAAACTTGATTGGTCGAATTTTGGTGTTAATTCTTGATCGTTTGGGGTATATAACTATTGGATCTATTAGGTATATATTGGTAAAATAAGAAGTAAAGAGATATGAATACCACTAATATTGTCTATTTGGCAGACCTAATTCGACGAAGTGAAAGATCACCTATATTTTAGGAAATATTTTTATTCCGCATATATATATTCCTTTCTTTTAGAACCTTCTTATTGGAAATATTAGATGACTCGATGTGTCTTGAAATTTGTAAGGCGCTTCAAGAACAACAAAAATACCTGGGCTAAACATCTAGTAAAGGTTTCAGCGTTATATGGCTATAAGCCTACATCGTAATATATATACATATATATGTATGTATGTATTATGGCAACACAATAATAAGTGAGCAAGAGAACTTACTTATGTATATGGGGAAAACAATAGAGAAAGGCATATAGGCTCGTTCTAAGAGTACGCTCAGTATGAATACTAACACATAGCATAGATGACATACGAATATTTATTTATAAAGTACATAATTCTTCTTCTTCGTTGTATCGCTGAACAAGTTTTGCTGACATCATCAACATTATTTCCTGACCAACCTTACGGAAAATCGAAACAATTGTGTTGCATGCATTTACGTACATACGAATGAATAAGTATGGATACATATATGTATGTATGTATGTGCGATTTAAGTGATTTTGTTGTTTTAGAATATCACATGCACGACAGGCAACCAGCTTTTGTGAAATTGGAGAAAATAATTAGATTGCTTTACGTAACGAGCACAGTGGGTGAACCGGGGGAAAAGGAATAGTGTACAGAATATACATATGCATATATAATATATGCTATTCACTAAAAAACTATAAAATATGGATGAGAATGTTTGTAGTTCAAATATTTTTATTTGTTTTTTGTTTTCAATATGTGTGTAAAAAATCAGCGGAGCACTTTGAAGTGGAATAGAAAAAAAAAGTATATTTGGTTCAGTGCATTATACAACCAGCAATGATTCACAAGCGTAACACTCTGCCCACTTCGCTGAGCTCATAATGCATTGTATGTAGGTATATGTCCATACATATATGACTGCATCTATTTTCTTTTTGAATTTTTTTTTTTTACTTTTTGTATGCAAATTTTATTTTTTTCGCTTATATAAACAAATTGAATGTCATCTAGGAGACAAATTGTCGTCGCATGTATTTATTTTTGTTGAGGTGCGTATATATGCACATATGTATGTGTGAGTAAATAAACAGATTAAAATAGCCTATTTGTATTAAATATACCTATATATGTATATATTAAAGATATTATGAATATATATTTTTTATTATATAAATACATATATAATTATATTTATAGCTTTTTAAGGTTCTCCTTTGATTGAATAGGGTATATTAAGTTTGCTACGGAGTTTGTAACACATAGAAGGAAGGTCGGAGACCCTATAAAATATGTATTATAAATGATCATCATGACGAGCTGAGTAGATTTAGCCATGTTCTGTATGTCCGTCCGTCCGTTCGTCTGTCCGTCTGTCTGTATATAAGCTAACTCGGTTTTTGAGATATATATCTGAAATTTTGCACACGTTCTCTTTCCTTTGCTAATTTGTCGGAGCCGCCCATATCGGACTACTAGTATAGCATATAGCAGCCATACAAACTGAACGCACAGCATCAAGTGCTTGCATGAAAAACATTTTTATTTGATGAGATATCTTCACGAAATTTGGCTTGGATTATTGTCTAAGATAATGATGCAACCTGCAAAAAAATTGTTCAGATCGGATCGTTATAGCATATAGCTGCCATGCAAACTGACCTATCAATATCAAGTTCTTATAAAGAATATTTTGTATTTGTTAAGGGTATTATTGCTTCGGTGCCACCGAAATTAATGTTTTTGTTGCTTTTTTAATATATAATAAATATCGTATGAATATTTGCACTTTCTGGCAGATTTTCCTTATTTTAAAGCATTTCGCTTAGTTTAATTTTATTTCTATTTAAAATTGCACAACACTAAATTGATGACAGCTGGCAGCGTAAAAGATAAGCTGCATATTGCTTTGTTTTTTTCTAATTGCTTTGTAGTTGCACACCTGCAGCCATTGTAGGCGCTCAAGGGTACAATTAGCAGCAGTTTTGACAAAAATCGTATTTCGAGAAACTTTTGAATATTTGGTAATGCTCCGAAAAAGTTTTGATTTTAATTTTAAATTTGACATAAATATTATTTACCTTTAAACAATAGCTTTTCGAAAAATTGAATTAAAATTTTCTGACAAATTTTTCTTGAATTCTTCTGACTTGGCGTTGTTCCACTGCAATTTCATATTTTACACTTTGTTAGTTGTGAAATTATCCGGTTATATTTTTTTATAGACTGTTAAGAGATGAATTGTTTTCATTGAGATATATAAATGTATATAGTATAGTTTTGATGAAAAATAAATGATTAATTGACTGCAAAAAGTATTGAAACTAATAAGGAAGTTCCAAGATTAAATGCCATTCACTACAGTATTTGTATAGGGTGCTTTTCAAAGCATATACTAACTTAATGAATGACTGTAAAACCAGCTTTAGCAAATTAACATACCAAGATTCATTTAGAGTTTTACCTCAAAAAAGTTCCTGCCGAATCTGCATTCTTCCATTTTAATTTATCAAGTCCTCTACGGTGTAAAACCTTCATTCCAATCGTCAAGATTTTAACTTCAGCTGGAACACTAAATACAATAACTTATACAAAAAGCGCCTTAAAAAGATGAAATATTGATGCTTTCATTATTTAAAATAAAAGTTCTTTAAATATAAATTTTCATATAAGTATTAGGGAAAGTATTCTGGGAATACCTATTAAGGATTTGAGCTAATATCGAGTTATTCCTGAGATGGGACTTTAAAGCCTCTCCAAAACCTTGCAAGCTGGAATAACATAAAAATCTACTACTGTTCTTGTATTATCCGAGGAATAGAATAAATCAATGATGTTCTGATAACACTATACTTAGAATGGGAACGTTGTAGAAATTCTTAACGTGATCCATAGAAATTGTGAGAACTTCTGTAGAGCTATAGTGTTAAATTTATAGGTGGCTAAAGGCCACACTGGAGAACTTCATGAAACTTTCCAAATAGCTGGGTCTATATTTTAAAAACGACAAAATTTGTTCTAATCATATATAAAACTTCCAGAGAAGTCGCAAAATTCCTTATTTTCGTCTTATCGACATTAAAAACAATTCTGGAAACTACGCAAAAATAAAAATTTTGGTGTACATTTATAAGGTGGTAGCAATTTTATGTCGATATTAGAGCGGGTGCTGACAGTGAACGCCATAAACATTTTTGTATAATAGTATTTTGGAACTAATATCGATCCGTTCCTGAGATGGGCTCATAAAACTTTTGCACGGTCTTGGAAAAAGGAAAAACAACAATAGTTATTACTTTGATATTCAAGCGACACAAGTTAAATAGATCATGTTCCATAAGTAATTTAAATATTTGTTAGATTTTTGCTTTATGGTGTACTAAACGCAGATTTTTATTGATTTTTTTTTTAAAACACCTTTATATGGCAAGGGTGACGCAGCATACCACTTGGACACCTGTGAAGGCTATTTCTTAGTTATACCCTAAACTCTTCGATATGAATCACTAGATCATAATTGATCGACAAAGCGTTTTGAGCTTACGAACAAAATTTTAAGACGACTATTAATCCCAGCCACTTTTCTAGGTTCGCCGAAAGTGTGTCTACTGAGATGTTTAAATCTCAGTTTGGAAAAGGCTGTGACCCTATTGGATAGTGTTCAGTCAGAAAACCTACAATTACGGCCGATAAACATTGCTAAGAACACATAGCCTCTATATGGAAAGTTAGTTAAAGTTAGTAAAGTCAGTAAAGTTTAAAATATTATATTTTTGCTACCGGATTCAGATTAAGACATTTGCCTAAATTAATTAAATATTAGAACTAAGCAGAAAAAGGGATAACTTTTTATTGAATAAGGAGTTAACTTTCAATATGTAAAACCAAAAAAAAAAATCAGATATGCATATGTTCAGGTTTTTTCATGAATTGTTTTTTGTGAGGAGGAATTTATTTAATAGATAAAGAAAGTATATCCACTTACAGAATTCCCTTGATCATATAGCCGATCACGCGGCGGACCTCCGAAAAAATGTCTTACGGTATGGACGATTTTACTGCTTTAAATTATCTCAAAAACCAAAAACATGTATTATTTCATTAGATGAATGCAGGTAATGATCGAAGGACTAGTCAAAATTTGATTTTGGGCAAAATGGCCGCTTCACAAAAAAAGTGTTTTTTTTCCTCCAGAGTGGCTTAAAAAATCGAAGTTATTACACGCTCGATCATTATCTGACAAATATATCTAAATAAATCTAATATGTAAAACGGGCGTGTGAAAATTTCAAGTCAAGTGGTCCAGCCGTTTCGAAGAAATATTCCACAACGTCTTTCAAAAAAGCGCTACGAGGAAAATATTTATAAAGTTTTGAGCGCCGATTACACTAAGTTAAAAAATTCTTACAAATACGCTCATATCTCCGAAACTATTCACGGGATCAACTTCGAATTTTCGAAGAACATTTTCAAATGTATGTTCATATATTTAATATGTATGCAGAAAAAAAATCGATTTTTTGAAATTCACAAGAGGTAAAGTTTTTTTCGAAAGATACTTTATGAATCCTACAATGAAATGGTTGGTGTATCATTGCTCTCAGTTCTTTTCTAAGGCAGGGTGAAAATCAGGACAATTCAAGTTCTGATTGGATAATTTTAAGACATTCTCTCCCACACAAAACGAACAAACTATACTATAGATTTAGTCGGAAGTATTACATCCGTCCATATTGTATTTAAAATATTCATACACACATATAGATATAAATAAAGGCATAAACCTTGAAAGTTTATGCCAGCTGAATATTTGCTTAAAAATTTCCCGTAATATTTAATTTTAGATGCCAACAAAAACAAATGTTAGCAGCAGTTGCGGTAAATACATTATATAACACTTATCAATAAAAATGCAAATGTGCGCACACACCCACATGCAAATATTCCATGAATGCGAAATGTAATGCAATTGTGATGTGATGTGCGGCAATATCTAATTCAATTAAACAATTAAACTGCAATGTACAACGAAAATAGCAAAAGCAAAGAAAAGAAAAAAGAAAGAAATAAATTCAATTAACAACCAAATCGAAATGCAGCAATTTGGAAAAATTGTGGGTCGGAGAGACGGCAAGAAATTGCATTTAAGCGCTGGCAGGCCAAATAAAATGGCAAGAAAATTGCAATGTGTTAAACGAAAATTAATGGAAAATATACAAATATATGATCTACATGCGGTAGGAGGTTTAACAGTTGGGAGAAATATGACTATAAAATAATGCATTTTTTTGTACCCAGTTTTCTATTCAGAGACCGTCTTCGTGAAAGCTACATACATATATACATATGGTGGCTTGATGTCTGATAGATTTCAAATCACGATATTTAAAATATAATCAACCTGGATACGTTGCGTTTTGAATATACCGAGCTTTAAAATTAAGATTAACTTTATTTTGATATCGAGATGTAGACGGGGCTTCGTTCCCTACAGCAAAAAGTATTTGATAATTTCTCGTTTACACAGATTACTATATATTAGGAAATCGCTTTTATATTTATAAAACAAGGAAATGTTTGTTGGGAATGAGCTGAATAAACTGAGCGGCTACACTTTTGAAGGCTGTAACTCAAAAACTACTTGAGATATCGATGTGAAATTTTAGTAAGTTATTTTTAAAGGAATAACCTATCGAAATATGAAACAAGAATAAACGTTAACTATAATACCCTTCACAAATACCAAAGGTTCCTTAAAGACATTGATTTTCACCGGCCAATTTTTATGGTAGCTATAGCGATTCGATCAAAACAATTTCTTTAGAGATTACAACGCTGTCTTGGGTAATAACCCTTGCCAAATTTCGCGAAGATATCTCGTCAAATGAAAAATATTTCCATACAAGCACTTGATTCCGATCGTTCAGTTTGCCTGACAACTATATGCTATGAGCATCCGATTTCAACAAGTTTTTTGGAGATTGCGCCGTGGTCTACCGTATACAATTTCTTGGAGATATCTCGTCAAATGAGTTTTCCATACAAGGACTTAATATTACATGTTCAGTTTGTATGGCAGATATATGCTATAATGGTTCGATATTGGACAGTTCCGACAAATGCTCAGCGCTTTGGTAAAAAAAGGACGTGTGCAAAATTTCAGATTGGTATCTCAAAAACTGAGGGACTAGTTCACGTGTATACAAACAGACGGACATGGCTAATCGACTTAGTTCGATACGCTGATCATTCAAATATATTTTTTCAGGTTCTCCGACGTTTCCTTCGGGGTGTTACAAACTTCATGTCAAACTTAATATACTATATAATATCTTGTTCAGGTCGATATTTGATTACGGGGTTTCTCTTAACCGTAACTCAAGCCATTGCATATAGCACGAGGAGTGCCTTAGCTTGCTCTCAATAAGTCATAGGGAAAGTAAGCTTCGTGATTGACTAACACCTGTTGCAGTTGTTTACTAAAAAATTAGCTAATCTTATTAGAACTGAAGTAGTCTGGAACTAGTTCCATTTATTGCAATCTACATATGTATATAGTAACACCCATTCATATGTAAATGAATATCAAACGGAAATTAAAAAACTGAGAAGATAAAACTGCATAAGCAGGAAAGATGTTATATATTAACATATACGTACATATACGTACATATATACATATATATAGGTATATGTATGCATATGTGGAGCAAATACCTATGTACGGTACAGTGTGCAATATGCGAGCTTTGTCATTCTTGTAGCATATTTTCGTTCTCCACCAATCTATAAACTCACATTTTTGTTTGCGGAAAGATAAATATTTTGGTTTTCTTACTACTATGTTGAGTGAGGTATGCGCTGTACAAGGTATTTTATAGAATCTTAAGGAATGCGAATATTCTCTGTATACGTTTTATAGCTTTTGAAGTGTGAAAGGAAAGGAACTAAAAACGAATAATGCAAACAAGGTAATAAGCCAAATGGTTTAACTTTTTCTGCTATTCGGCGACGATTCGACCCGATAATTCAGGATAGTGGACCGCTACGACCGCTTTGCTTCTCTCCAAATAGTCGATATACTAGAAAACGGTAACCATCAATTTAAGACTGGCAGGAGAGTCCTTGGCTTCTGGTGTATATCACTATATCCATGCTTCGTCGACGTTCACGAAAAGATTCAAAAACTTCTTCGGATTGCGGTCAAGCAGCGTCAAACCCTACTGTGAAGTGGTTGGACGATTTTGATTGTAGTTTGGAGAGAAAAAAAAGCACGACTTATCACGCCTACAGCTTTCCCATCTTTACTCCTTTACATCTAATATAAGATAGAGCGGGGTCTGTCAATACAAGTGGACTTTTGTTACACCATCTTCCGCTGGAAGCTGTCTTCGCGGCACCTGGCTTTGGCTCACCGAAGAATCGAAATGCGACAGCATTGACATTTTGTTGTTGTTTTTAGTACATAAAATATACATATATAAATAATCAGGATGACGAGGCGAGCTGAAACTGAACTGTCTGTCCGTCCGTCCGCCTGTCCCTGCAAGCCATAACTTGAGTAAAAACTGAGATATCTTAATGAAATTTGCATATTGTTTCTTGGCATCATGATTAGGTTGGTATTGTAGATGCGCGATAATGGCCATTTTCCACGCTCTCAAAATGCTGTTAAAGTACAATAATTAAACTGCAAGTTGAGATATAATACAATAATTTGTACAGGAGATTGTAGTGAAAAAGGATATCTGTGGACTAAAATTTTTTAAGAGCGGGTCACTAAAGCTAAATCAATCAACTTCCCTTAAGTCAAATATTTTCGGCACTTCTTCCGCCTGTGTAAAAATGGGTGAAATCGAATGTGACACCGACCCCTCTTTTTATACGCTATTTCACATTTAAATGTTGTCGGTACGTCTCTTTGAGATATATAGGGTTTTCCAATTGGTCTTTTATGATTTTTCTCCAAAAACAAAAAAAAAAACATACTAATTGTAAAGGAAATTCAAAAGTTTTTTATTTAATGTGAAGTAAAATCGATACAATTAAGTTACGAATACAACAGCATTCAAATTGGCTGCACGACTTTATTTGCAGAAACTAATTCGATGAACCTAATTTTCGCGTACTTTTTTTACTAAATCAAGTCGTATGTCGCGAATAGCACGTTCAATATTGACTTATAAAGTTCGAAGAGATTCTGATTTATTGCTAAAGATCAGTTAGTTTAAATAACCCCACAAAAAGTAGTCTAGTGGTGTTAAATCACAACTTCTTGTAGCCATTCAATGTCACAATTTCTTGAAATTATCGAATCTTCAAACTTTTGTCGCAATAATTCGGTTGTTGCAAGTTCTGTGTGGCACGTAGCTCCGTCTTGTTGGAATCAGATGAGATGAGATCAAGATCAACTTCTTCCAATTGCGGCCGTCGATTTATTTAGTTGCTTATCATCGATCTATACCGCTCTCCATTAACAGTAACGGTGTCACCAGCTTCATTTTGAAAGAAGTACGGACCGATGATTTCACCAGACCCAAAACCACACGAAACTGTCAATTTAGCTGAATTTAATGGTTGTTCATGAATAATTTGTGGATTTTCTTACCACTCACCACAACCATAACGACCATAAAATGGCAAAAGCGCACGAAAAGTTGCTATTGGAAAACGATTATTTTGATAATAAAATTGAATAATTTGTAAATGTTGTTATTTAAAATTAAAGATCATGACATAATGGCCGAAACGATATTAAGAAATCATAGCATGCCTATTGGAAAGCCCGATATTATTGAACTTTTCGATTATTATCTTAATGAAATACAGGTCAGGTCAGTCTTTCTATTATAATTGTCTATCCTTGTGCCGAAAATGGTTACAATCTTCAATACTTCTCGTAGCCCCTACATACACATACCTAAATAGTCAATTCCGACTTTTCAATCGATCTTAAACAGTTTATTTAGGTCAGTATGTGCGATACTGTAATACAATTAAGTATACACTAGCTAAATATGAATGAAATCGGTCTACAACTCAGCCCCTAATATAATATTAATATAAATTTATTAGACTAAGTTATTAAACGACCTATAGTTTACGATAGATACTAAATATGATTGTGTTGCATTCTTAATTTCGTCGAATAAATAATTTTCAATTCTCTTGCAATATTTTATAAAATAAAAAATATGTCTTTTGCTTTGATCTTTGAAAATTTCGAAAGCATAAAATGTTCAGTTACACCCCAACTTAGCACATTCTTACTTGTTCTTGTTATAAAGATTTCGCTACAGCTTTTAGTATGACACTTTTAGAGGACAGATATAAGTCTGCGCTACACCACTTTTACAATCCAAAGTGGAACACATTTACTCGATACGTCTTTTAAAAATGACGGTATACAAATTTACCTTAGTGAGTATCTAATGCTCCGTTCTTCTTCGGTGCGAACTTAAAGGGTTTTTAATAAACATATTCAGAAACTTTATATAATATTTAACATATGGTTGATCCTTTTTTAATTACTTATAAATATGTTTAGTAAAGCTTTACGATCTACATAAGCAATATGCGAATAATTGCAATTTAAAATCAGCGTTGCTCCATCGCTACTAATCGATATAGGTACATACTTGTATATAAGAATAATCATACGATTGAGATGACTCAACAGTTTTGTAAACTATTCGCGAAATGTCTTTAGAGGGCATATGGGAAAATATAATATCTAATAACTCAGTGAATATGAGTGTATGTATGTGTGTGTGTAAACCGCAATAATATGCACAATTATAAGCGAAGCAAAGGTTTATCTATAGTTCTCTTATATACCAGTTAAAAATATATATAGCGTGTTCGACCGATATTGAGACATATATACATATGTTTGCACGTATGTGTATGTTTAAGCGCAAACCCATTTGAATGCGGTGCAGTGCGGGAGGAAGCTGAGCGCAGCCGAGGAGATGCGCACTTTGAAGATGCGATATACGCACACAAACATATCTGTCATATTTACATATGTATGTATGTGGATAGATATACTTGGAACAAACGAAACACATATGTATGTATATATAAAGTGCTGCATATATACAAGTATATATGTATTGTATGTATATAGTCTTATAGTTGATCATATATGTATGCATCTATGTGTAAACGCAAGGTGTGGCGGCATTACTACCAAAGCAAATCAAGGAACTCCCAAATGTCAGTGGCGAATGCAGCGAGCTAACAGATTTAGCAGCAGCTGGCCGATGCTAGGGCAATAAATAAGTACTATTGCAGTGCTGCACAAACGCATTCGTGCTATTACATAATATCCTTGAACTTGAGCGGCGTTGTACATATGTATGTACTGTGGTGGTGCAAGAGCCATTAGAGTAGAGGGACGGAGGCTCCTAACAACGTGAGCCACAAGAAAAGTGGCAATTT